GTGTGTGTGACTTATGAAGTCTGCCCCATAGCGTGTACAATATCCTGCTCACTTTATCTGTAGCTGCTCACTTTGTCTGATACCTTGCTCTCGCTCTCTGCTTCACTGCACGCCATATACGCCAGAATCTATCATGCACGCCCTGTCTGATTGTTGTACCTGCTCGTGTGATTGTCTGTTCATCCTGTATAGTATCTACACACTCTGTTTGCTTTTCTTCTTTCACTGTCTTGTTCCCTTCGCACCCCGTCGGTCTGTTCTTCAGCCGTACACCCTATCGGATAGTCTTTCACACTGTTTGAATCTTTGCATGCGCTGTCTGATTACGTGGCACAGCTTGCCTCGGGCCACGAGTGGGAGTTTCGCCTCTGCATTCAAGTACAGGAACACCGAGCGGCAACAGGGCACATCACACACACACCCACACAACAACAATAACAATAACAATAGCAATAACAGTACCAGTACCAGTAACCATAGCAACGCCACGACACCCGGCATGGCACGCACACGTGTGAGTTATGCCGACGACAGTCTCAGCAACGCGGCTGTGCGTAGCGCGAGTATGGGCATGGGGCAAACACAGGAATTGGAGGGTGTTGGGAGGGGTCTGGGGTCTAGTATGTCTCAGTGGAAACTTAAACGCGCCAATTCACACACGCACACACATACACATACACGGGCGAGTAACGCAATGGCCGGTACACAAGGCGCCGGCAATGCTTACGGGTTGATACAAATACGGACCAAGTCACAAGGTGAGACACAAGGGCAGGTGCTGCAGCAAACACAGTCTCAGACGCAAACACAGGCACAGTCACTGTCACTGTCACAGTCGCAGTCACAGTCACAGTCACAGTCACAGGCGAAGTTACGTGCCCAGTTACTGGCACAACTGCATCCCTACAGCCCTAAGGGCACGCTGGCGAGAAAGTACCCCTCTGAGTTGAGGATAGAGAACCCCCCCACTGGCGATACGGGCGCATATGGGCGTGAGATGGTTGCTACGGATGTGGATGATGGTTCATCGAGACATACAGAGATAGATATAGAACCATATAATACTACGGAACACCCAACCGCACAACGCATGAAGGACTTCCGCAGGCGGCACAGTGGTGTCCTGTCGCAGGCTAGTGTGAGCGGAGACGATGTGGAGGAGGATGCAGGTGTGTACACACACACACACA